GATCGAACATGGCTGCTCTTTTACACAAGGCATAGAGAATCTAAGTGTCTTCAGTTCTTGTACATGTTCAAAACGTGTTCTCATATTGGAAAAACATCAAAACAGTGCACGTGTTGAACATGTTCATTTGACACAGATAAAGTGTGCACGTGTTACAGGGCTTAGTTATTGATACATACGTGTTTAAGGCATTATAAATAACTGGGAAATACAACAGATAACATGTATACAGTTATAGCATTGTTAATGATATGATGTTACAAGTGTGCATGTTACAGGGCCTAGTTATTGATACATACGTGTTTAAGGCATTATAAATAACTGGGAAATACAACAGATAACATGTATACAGTTATAGCATTGTTAATGATATGATGTTACAAGTGTGCACGTGTTACAGGGCCTAGTTATTGCTACATACGTGTTTAAGGCATTATAAATAACTGGGAAATACAACAGATAACATGTACACAGTTATAGCATTGTCAATGATATGATGTTATACGTCACCTGGGGTATATGTGCTTGTATTAACATCACCTGGGGTATATGTGTTTGTTTATACGTCCCGCGGTTGTATTTACACTGTGAGACTCGGATTGTCGTAGTATAGCATGTACCGCGGTACCCATAAAATCCCCTGTAATACCGGTGTAACAGGCCAGAGTATACCCCTGTCCCAGACTATACCCAGGGTTAAACTGGGCTAGAACAGACTATACCCCAGGTATAATCTGGACTCCCCTAGATTATACCCCGGGGTATATTCTGAACTAGGCAATAGTATACCCTCCTAGCTGTCCGAGATTATACCCTGCAGAATACCCCTGCAGGATACTACGATGATTTTATTGTACTTCTCACACAATTAAACACTGGTTACTACATTGAAATGGTCCGATATTTTTCCAGATGCAAAACATAATCAGTGTACAACAAGTAGCCCTTGTCATACCGGTACAACATGTACCCCTTGTCATACCGGTACAACATGTACCCCTTGTCATACCTGTACAACATGTAGCCCTTGTCATACCGGTACAACATGTACCCCTTGTCATACCGGTACAACATGTACCCCTTGTCATACCGGTACAACATGTAGCCCTTGTCATACCGGTACAACATGTACCCCTTGTCATACCGGTACAACATGTACCAATTTGTCATACCGGTACAACATGTACCTTGTCATACCGGTACAACATGTACCCCTTGTCATACCGGTACAACATGTAGCCCTTTGTCATACCGGTACAACATGTACCCTTGTCATACCGGTACAACATGTACCCTTTGTCATACCGGTACAACATGTACCCCCTTGTCATACCGGTACAACATGTACCCCTTTGTCATACCGGTACAACATGTGTACCCCTTGTCATACCGGTACAACATGTACCCCTTGTCATACCGGTACAACATGTACCCCTTGTCATACCGGTACAACATGTACCCCTTGTCATACCGGTACAACATGTACCCCTTGTCATACCGGTACAACATGTATCCCTTGTCATACCGGTACAACATGTACCCCTTGTCATACCGGTACAACATGTACCCCTTGTCATACCGGTACAACATGTACCCCTTGTCATACCGGTACAACATGTACCCCTTGTCATACCGGTACAACATGTACCCCCTTGTCATACCGGTACAACATGTACCCCTTGTCATACCGGTACAACATGTACCCCTTGTCATACCGGTACAACATGTACCCCTTGTCATACCGGTACAACATGTAGCCCTTGTCATACCGGTACAACATGTACCCCTTGTCATACCGGTACAACATGTACCCCTTGTCATACCGGTACAACATGTACCCCTTGTCATACCGGTACAACATGTACCCCTTGTCATACCGGTACAACATGTACCCCTTGTCATACCGGTACAACATGTAGCCCTTGTCATACCGGTACAACATGTACCCCTTGTCATACCGGTACAACATGTACCCCTTTGTCATACCGGTACAACATGTACCCCTTTGTCATACCGGTACAACATGTACCCTTGTCATACCATACCGGTACAACATGTACCTTTGTCATACCGGTACAACATGTACCCCTTGTCATACCGGTACAACATGTACCCCTTGTCATACCGGTACAACATGTACCCCTTGTCATACCGGTACAACATGTAGCCCTTGTCATACCTGGTACAACATGTACCCCTTTGTCATACCGGTACAACATGTACCCTTTGTCATACCGGTACAACATGTACCCCTTTGTCATACCGGTACAACATGTACCCCTTGTCATACCGGTAACAACATGTAGCCCCTTTGTCATACCTGGTATGCCAACATGTACCCCTTTGTACCTGTACAACATGTAGCCCTTGTTGGCACCGGTTTGTCATATTACGAACGTGTAGCCCTTGTCATACCTGTACAAATGTAGCCCTTGTCATACCGGTACAACATGTACCCCTTGTCATACCGGTACAACATGTACCCCTTGTCATACCGGTACAACATGTACCCCTTGTCATACCGGTACAACATGTAGCCCTTGTCATACCGGTACAACATGTAGCCCTTGTCATACCGGTACAACATGTAGCCCTTGTCATACCTGTGCAACTTGTACCCCTTGTCATACCGGTACAACATGTACGCCTTGTCATACCGGTACAACACGTACCCCTTGTCATACCGGTACAACATGTACCCCTTGTCATACCTGTACAACATATACCCCTTGTCAGACCGGTACAACATGTATCACATTTAGTTTGACAACTGATGATATACACAAGACTTCATCTTGACTTGCAACCTTTGGGGTACAGGAAACCGCATAGATCAATTCTAAGCATCCCAGCAAGTAATGAGAGTCGGAGTAGAGTATTGGAGTGGTGTACAGTATGTTCAGATAATTACCGTAGAGTATTGGAGTGGTGTACAGTATGTTCAGATAATAACTGTAGAGTATTGGAGTGGTGTACTGTTGGTTTAGATAATTACTGCAGGGTCTAGAATAAGTCAGTTAGTATGTTCACAGTAGCCACGACTGGTGGCTGAAGTAACAGACACCCATAACCTACTGTTGATGCGCTGCAGCAAGCTGTCAGTATTTGTGTGCGTCTTTCATGACGTGGGACGTTTGTTTCTATGTGTATATTCTCTACATTGGTGCGTCGCGTATAACATTGCATGCATACCAGCTAGCTACTGTCGTCAATAAGCCCAACACCTGCCTATTCAGCAATACAAATACGTTATACATATACACCCTCCACATGCATGTTGTGTGATACCATGTCAGGTATACTGAGTCAAAAAAGAAACTTCACATTCTTTCTTCAGGGCACTTTAAAAGAACAAGAGATGGTAAGATGGTTAAATTGTTATTATTTCATTGCTGACATCTGTGTGATGTACTCGATACACTGACAGTGCCATAATCAGTTCCATTAGGCTACACCGCCGTTCCAAAACATGGGTATACAGAATGTCAAGTCACAAGAATAAAAATGCGAAATTTCTCAGTTCAATATCGTGTATGCCCCCCCGCGCATTCACCACTGCCAAACACCGTCTCCTCATCGACTGCCTGATGCTTGTGAACACGTGGTTGGGGATTCTGCGCCATTGCTCTTGCAAGTTCCTGCAAATTCTGAGGTTGGTTCCTAAGACCACGAAGCCTTCTCCCAAGTGCATCCCAAACGTGCTCTATTGGAATAAGGTCAGGGGATCTTGATGGCCAGTCCATGACGTTGATTCCAGCGTTTTAAAGGAAATTTCGTGTCAACATCGCGGATATCGGCCGAGCATTATCATGCTGGAACTGTAGACCTGGGTCATGAGCCGCCATGAAAGGAACGAGTTCAGGGGTGAGCACCTGGTCGCGGTAAGCAGCAGCTGTGAGGTTTCCACGGATGACCAGAAGTCGGGAACGGTTGTTCCCACAGAAAGCACCCGAAACCATGCAACTTCCGCCCCCGAATCTGTCGACTTCCTGTACACAACATTTGGCATACTGTTCACGACGCCGTCTCCAGACTCTATGCCAGCCGTCCGCGAATCTGTGGGTAAACCTGGATTCATCGCTAAAGACGACTGGTCTCTCTGGGTCTCTCTGGGTCCATCGATGGTGACGTTGGGCCCACAGCAGACGTTGACGTGGATGAAACGGCGTCAATATTGGCCCACGATATGCACGCCGAGAATGGAGATTGGCAGCCCGCAACCGATTTCGAATGGTCTGTGAGGACAGTCGACCTCTAAACATCTCAACCCTGGTTCGTGTAGCCGGCAGAAATCTGTCACGTAGGTGACGTAGGACGATTTGACGGTCTTCTGCTCGTGACGTCACACGTGGACAACCCGACCTTGGGCGATCAGAAGTGGTGCAAGTTTGTTGTAGACGACCTCGCAAGTCATACACAGTACGACCGCTGCATCCCATTGCTCTTGCGACGTCAATAACTGATCTTCCCGCTTGCAACATGCCAACGACACGTTCACGTTGCACATTTGACAATCGTGGCATTTCAAGTACCGTTAGAACTGTGGTTTAAAAGTGTTTTTTCACTTCTTGAGGCCTATGCAAACGCGTGCATATGAAGAAAACTTCGATGCGAAGATCACGTGATCGACTGCACGTGCAAAACCTGATTCGGCACTAACGCCATTTGCACGACGAATGGATGGGTTTGAGTGGGTTTTGCTAACGTTTTTTCTAGAGTCGAAAGATAGGGATCCCATTTCGGATACATAGGTGTCTCATCAGAGAAAAAATATTCATTATTTTTCAAATTACATTTTGTGAAGTTTCTTTTTTGACTCAGTATATATGGGGTCATGGAATCGTACACCAGATTATGACAATGGCACTCACATGTAGCCGTCTTCATCACTCAGTACCCTTCTTCACTCATATCTACATCGTTATATACAGTTAATACCTTGCCTGGTGAAGGAATTTATATCACGTTGCACTTCTTGTTTTTCAGCCTGCCAAGACCTTGACCCCTGCATAGCGTACACCAACATGACCGATATAACGAGGGATGTATTCAATACACCACGGCAAGACGACATACTGATCTGCGACCTTAACCTTCAGCCCGGGTGGTACCGACTAGTGGATGGCTTGATGCCGACACACTGTCTACAACCCTTCAGTTGCGGCACCCAGGCGCCAATATGGCTGAACGGAAGTGTACCTTCACAAGCGCAAGGCATTGTGCGCATGACTGCATGCGCGAATACTATTCCGACGAGTGGCAGTACAGGCGCTTGCTGCGGGACTCAGATTCCGATAGACGTCAGAAACTGCGGGGAGTTTGTGGTATACTGCCTCCGTCGCCCCCCAGCGTGTCCCATGGCGTATTGCATAGGTACAACCACAATCCGTTCTGGCTTTTTGTTATCGTTGAATTACACGATGTACCCTGTACATGTATTGCATAGGTACAACCACAACTCGTTCTGGCTTCTTGTTATCGTTGAATTACACGATGCACCCTGTACATGTATTGCCATACACATTACATACACACAGGCTCACGTTCCAAATCATATACTACAGGAAAACCGGCAGTATATCAATCTCATCAAGACCGGTTGTAAGTTCTCGGTACTTCCAAACAGAGATATGACTTCATGCCACTACTGGTCACGTCAGAACGACCCATCATCAGACCGAGATTATCAGATCGGAAAAGTCGTACAGTCAGTTTTAACATAGGGATAAGGAAAGGGGATTTCCATAACCGGATTGTTTTCTATACAATTTTGGCCATTATTATTTAGGGTAGAACCAATTTTAAATCAAGATTTATTTCAAAAGTTAGAATGGACGTTTGAAAAATGTGTAAGTAAAGCTAGAGAAACCAGATTTCTGCTGGTCAGTCATCGTTCGTGGATGACTGTTCCGACGTGACTTGTCATACAATGTCATCAGTTCTTTTTTTAATGCTTACCAGAACTCCGACCTGCTTTTAATGAGATTGGAAGTTATGCTTACGCAAAATAAAAGATCAAAACCTGATCCATCCTGCAACCTGTGATACATTCACCCACGTTGGTTTTACATGAATCTGTGTGACCATCTCGTCTGTCCGGTTTCAGAATCTGCTCCAAGGATGGTGTCTCCGCCAGTCCTCACCGGACCGGAAATCATAGGAGACCGTTTCCGGTTTGCTTGTGGCATCTCGTTCCCGCGCGGGATTCAGAACATCGCCTTTAATATCACGTGGTCATTTGACGGAGTTAATATCCCAACTGTCCCAGCACAGGTCCTCACAGGGGATCAGAGAATCGCCTTCCTTTACCAAGAGGCGTGGAGAGGGAACATCGGCAAGACGGTGAGTTTTGGAGAGATACATATGCGTGAAAGATCGTGCCTTGTCATTCAAGAAATCATTTCTGTGAAATGTAAGGAACCTGTAGTTTCTTGGCTATGGGGATCTAGGCGAGTGCCAGCATGTTATGAGTTACCTTCTTGAGACTATAGTACTATAGCAGTAAGTTAAGCCTGTCACTTTACTCATCTTGTCAGCATGGTGTTATGTCATTACAAGATCTCAAAAATAGTTATTATCTGTGTGTTTCTGCATTTAAATATTTGGCAAACCCAAACTTCATAAAGCATCATGCTCATACATGAAGTCATTCTTAAACAATATCAAGTAACACGTTCTCAATCTTTAAACCATTCACTGTGAATCAAGGAAATCTCCATAATCAATGCCTCTCGTAAAAAAGGAAAGTGAAATGAGGATTGGATGGGCACCTGTATGACCTGGTGGATTGAGTGGGCACCTGCAGGGCCTGGTGGGTTGGGTGGCCAGCTGTGGGACCTGGTGGGCTGGGTGGCTACCTGTTGGGCATCTGTGGGACCTGGTGGGTTGGAGTGGGTACCTGTGTGACCTGGGGGCAGTGTGTTGGGTGGGCACCTGTGTGAATGGTGGGTTGGGTGGGCACCTGTGTGACCTAGTGGTGGGTTGGCACCAGTGGACCTGGGTGGGTGGGCTGTGTGACCTGGTGGTCTGGTGGGCAGACCTGGTGGGTGGGCAACTGCGTGACCTGGTGGGGTGGCAACTGCGTGACCTGGTGGGTGTGTGGCGCCTGTTGGATGGTGGGTTGGGTGGGCACCTGTGTGGTCTGGTGGGCTGGGTGGCCTGGTGGGTTGGGTGGGCACCTGTGTGGACCTGGTGGGTTGGGTGGGCACCTGTGTGACCTGGTGGGTTGTGTGGGCAAATGTGTGGTCTGGAGGGTTGTGTGGGCACCTGTGTGACCTGGTGGGTTGTGTGGAAACGGGTGTGACCTGGTGGGTTGGGTGGGCAACTGTGTGACCTGGTGGGTTGGGTAGGCACCTGTGCGACCTGGTGGGGTGAGTGTACACCTGTGTGACGTGGTGGTGTTGATGGGCACCTGTGTGACCTGGTGGGTTGGGTGGGCACCTGTGTGACCTGGTGGGGTGGGTGTACACCTGTGTGACCTGGTGGGGTGGGTGTACACCTGTGTGACCTGGTGGGGTGGGTGTACACCTGTGTGACCTGGTGGGGTGGGTGTACACCTGTGTGACCTGGTGGGGTGGGTGTACACCTGTGTGACCTGGTGGGGTGGGTGTACACCTGTGTGACCTGGTGGGTGGGTGTACACCTGTGTGACCTGGTGGGGTGGGTGTACACCTGTGTGACCTGTGGTGGGGTGGGTGTACACCTGTGTGACCTGGTGTGGGTGGGTGTACACCTGTGGGACCTGGTGGGGTGGGTGTACACCTGTGGGACCTGGTGGGGTGGGTGTACACCTGTGGGACCTGGTGGGGTGGGTGTACACCTGTGTGGGACCTGGTGGGGTGGGTGTACACCTGTGTGACCTGGTGGGGTGGGTGTACACCTGTGTGACCTGGTGGGGTGGGTGTACACCTGTGTGACCTGGTGGGATGGTGTACACCTGTGTGACCTGGTGGGGTGGGTGTACACCTGTGTGACCTGGTGGGGTGGGTGTACACCTGTGTGACCTGGTGGGGTGGGTGTACACCTGTGTGACCTGGTGGGGTGGGTGTACACCTGTGTGACCTGGTGGGGTGGGTGTACACCTGTGTAACCTGACGTGGTGGGTGTACACCTGTGTGACCTGGTGGGGTGGGTGTACACCTGTGGGACCTGGTGTGGTGGGTGTACACCTGTGGGACCTGTTACATTTGGTGTTGCCACTGCAAGCTAACTACTTTCATACTTCCTGAGGTTCGACACACTGCTGATGATTACATACAGTGACGAGACTGTCGATGTAAGGAGACCAGGTTTGACACACTGCTGATGATTACATACAGTGACGAGACTGTCGATGTAAGGAGACCAGGTTTGACACACTGCTGATGATTACATACAGTGACGAGACTGTCGATGTAAGGAGACCAGGTCGCCTCCGAGTATGTCATTGCTTCCTTGTGTGTTACAGCTCCGCTGCAGGGCCGATGCCTACTATGTCACGACACCCAACGTCCGGAGCCCCATTCTCACCAGCAACGGCTACTTCGGGGGAATCAGGGTAGGTTGTGTCTCTATATACCTCCATGACCTCTACCTGTGTTTACCTACAGCGTAGATAATGCACATGTCGTTACAAACCCAGGTGTACGCATGTACACATACGTACACATCAGGATGATAAATACGTACAGTGGCGTACAGAGCGGCTCAGCCAACTACACCGACCCACGTGACTCACAACGCCAACATCAACACACACACTGACCCCACACGCACCACAGACTGACCACACACCACACATTGTAATGCAGGCCGACATGTGGAGCTATTTTGGAAATAAGGAGACAATTTGCTTTCTACTTTGAGCTGGGTAGTTGTGTAGGAGCACTAACTGAATGTACAATAAAGTAAACCACGTGACACTTTTAATCCGTCCTCTACATGCTTCCTGTCGATGCATCATATTCAGTAGTCCATGTGTGAATGTTTCTGCAAGTCTATTTCTTAACCTATGCACATACAACATGCAGGTTCAACTATGTTTCTGACTAATTAAGCCAGTTACCTTGTGTGGTGTTGTTTTGCTCAAGCTCGTACTGAATGTATGATGTCGCTAAATAACCGACACTCCTAATCCAGTCAGCATGTGGCTGTCAGACACAAAGCTGATGTTGTCATGTGTCAAGGCTGCATGCCTCCCAACTGTGTCAGTGTGTCGTCTCGGTGTGACTATTGAACGTACGTGACTCTCTCTCCAGGTCACGCCGCCAGTCGTGACTGTACGAGAGGCAGGGGGACCACAGCAGATCAACGTGACGTCAACACTTCCGGTTTTGTGCACAGGCTCGCAACGACGTTGTAGCATTCACCTTGACATTGACGTCACTGGCGGAAGTTGGGGTGAGTTCAGTATTGGATTGCCTTACGTTTATGTTCATGTCTCTGTGGTTCTGTACAGCGAGTTGTGACATCATCATGTGTTGTTTGTTATGCTCCTTTGTTGTCACACTCAGCAATATACTGGAAGTACGTGACGGCGGCCTGTAAATAATAGAGACTACGCCAAACAAGCCAGTGATTGCTATATTGGATCCACAAAATATGCTAGCCCACCCTGTTTCCCATCCTGTTGGTCCCATGCAACATGCATAGTTGTCTAGAATCTCTACTTGGTCAAGTTGTATTGCACACACACTGCAGACATAAAAACCATGTAAACATTTTCTTGTGAAAAAAGATAGTATCACTGTTTTAAAATTATTTAAATGTGTCATTTGTTCATTGTATTTTCAATAATTCAATACAATATGTGAAGTTCTACCCAAGATTCATAATTTTATACGAATATACGCAGGACAAGTATGCTGGTTTCAAGTACGCCGTGTTAACTGGCTAAAACTATGTATGCACTCCTTGAAAAACGGACATTATTAGGCGATAACGCAGGCACGCCGAGCAGAAGCAGCAGAAGTAGCTGACATACTTCGTCGTCATGGATACTGTTGGAGTTATTTCCTTAAATGTCTCCCCATCCGTACATGAAGGTGTATAAGTTACTTACGTTAAGTTAGACGTTAAGAACAAGCTCACTCTGCTATATGACTGTAGGTTATCGGCGATGCCGTCACGGACATCTTGTAGTTATTAGAATGAGTCGGGTGTAGATGGGTATATAACCTATAACCTATTGTCACTGTACCCAGAGGACATCGCGACAGCCAATCAGTGCCTTCTCTTGCTGACACGTGACCACTGGGACCTCAACACCCGCACCGCCACCATCTCCACCACTGTCCAAGCCACCAGGGACTTCGTCAGGGACGGCAACCAGGAGCTGCGTGTCACCTTCATCGCCAACTACGTGAACGCCCCGGACATCTGGCTGGGTTACATACTGCCTCGACTCAGGGTAGGTGCGGCCGCGAGCTGTTTCACCGCCATAGGAGAGTGATCGAACATTTCAAAGAAAATATATGCGTGACTTCGTGTGAGAACGGCATGACGATTATGTGCATCTCACGAAACTTCTGGCGTGATTCTTTTGAAAGGTATATAGAGTTAAAGTGTGATGCGTGGTAACAATAGGTGGTAGTCAAGCAGACCTCTGAATGCCGTACAGTGGACATTGCGATTGTCTACGTAGGTTTAGTGTATACAGGTTCCGTCCGGAGAGCGATAGGTCGTAAGTTTGAAGCCTGCAGCGTCAAACTAAAGGACGTTAATGGTCGGTACTGCGGTACTGTGGATCTTCGTACAGCACAGGGACCCATTTCACAAAGATGTCATAGCGCTATGACTGTCGTGAGTCTGTAACAGAATAGGAGGTACGGCAGTCGTAGCGCTATAATAGCTTTGGGAAACGGGACAATATCAGGTACTTAATTATAACATACATGTTCACCGCCATTAATGATTTATCGGTTAATCTTCAGGTAAGTGTTAACCATATGTAACCTCATTACACGCAGATTGGTGTTCCCCATATTACACTCGTTGAACCACAAAGGTCTGACCTAGGTACTACTGACATTGCAGGTGTTCACGGTAGATGGCGAGACTCGACGCTGCTCGGCATTCGCAGACCCACACATCAGGACATTCGAGGGCAGGGAGTAAGTTCCATTTACCTTTCACGTAATTCCCCCACCAGGGTGTGACGGGGAGGCGCAGGGGAGAGGGAGTTGGGCAAGTCTGTGCCCAGACTTTACCAGCTATGGTGTGACGGGGAGGCGCGGGTGGGTGGGACGTTGCCTGGTCTATGATGCAGGAGTCTACTACGTCTATGTTAAAGTGTGGGTGGTACAGTCTACTTTAGGTACTCTACTAGTCTATGACGCTATGCAGGTTAGTTAAAGTGGGTGGTATTCCTGACGCTACTGCTACGTCTATGTTAAAGTGTGGGTGGTCTTGACGCTATGCTTGGTCTATGATGCAGGACTCTGCTACGTCTATGTTAAAGTGTGGGTGGTATTCCTGACGCTATGCTTGGTCTATGATGCAGGACTCTACTACGTCTATGTTAAAGTGTGGGTGGTATTCCTGACGCTATGCTTGGTCTATGATGCAGGACTCTGCTACGTCTATGTTAAAGTGTGGGTGGTATTCCTGACGCTATAAAGTGTGGGTGCTTGGTCTATGATGCAGGACTCTGCTACGTCTATGTTAAAGTGTGGGTGGTATTCCTGACGCTATGCTTGGTCTATGATGCAGGACTCTGCTACGTCTATGTTAAAGTGTGGGTGGTATTCCTGACGCTATGCTTGGTCTATGATGCAGGACTCTACTAAGTCTCTGTTAAAGTGTGGGTGGTATTCCTGACGCTATGCTTGGTCTATGATGCAGGACTCTGCTACGTCTATGTTAAAGTGTGGGTGGTATTCCTGACGCTATGTTAAAGTGTGGGTGGTATTCCTGACGCTATGCTTGGTCTATGATGCAGGACTCTGCTACGTCTATGTTAAAGTGTGGGTGGTATTCCTGACGCTATGCTTGGTCTATGATGCAGGACTCTGCTACGTCTATGTTAAAGTGTGGGTGGTATTCCTGACGTCTATGTTAAAGTGTGGGTGGTATTCCTGACGCTATGCTTGGTCTATGATGCAGGACTCTACTACGTCTATGTTAAAGTGTGGGTGGTATTCCTGACGCTATGCTTGGTCTATGATGCAGGGTCTATGTTAAAGTGTGGGTGGTATTCTGCTACGTCTATGTTAAAGTGTGTTATTCCTGAATGCTTGGTCTATGATGGTATTCCTATTCCTGACGCTATGCTTGGTCTATGATGCAGGACTCTACTACGTCTATGTTAAAGTGTGGGTGGTATTCCTGACGCTATGCTTGGTCTATGATGCAGGACACTGCTACGTCTATGTTAAAGTGTGGGTGATATTCCTACGCTATGCTTGGTCTATGATGCAGGACCCAGATTTCATGTGGGTCAATCAGACACTAATCCGCGAGACTGTGTGACTAATGTGTGACGTCATCTGCTGCATTATTTGGGTTCTCTTCTCAGCACTCTGCATCTGTATGAGGTCGGGGACTTTGTGCTACTCAGGAGCACACAACGACAGTTTGAGGTAAGTTTGTTTTGAGTGAAGCTGTCTGTAAATTAGATATATCTGTTTTCTAGCACGATGTCTATAAACCAGTGAGTTGTCTATGAATACACAATGCCATTTAGAAAGTGATCAAATGTAACACATGTTATATTTGGGATTACTCTTTCGCAGTAAAGTTCAAATTCTAGTACTTTTATTTGAGTCCCTTCGGGATTCAGGCACCTAATGTCCAGCACACAAAGTCAACCCTGCAACCCGCTCAGCCATCGCAGCTTCCACAAAAATGGAAGTCACCCTTTAGTCTAGACTGCGGGCTTTGTGTACCCCTCTGATAAGTGTAAGGCCTAAAACAAATGTTGTGGCTTCGATTACCCGACCGACCCTTGAATTCTGGTACCGACCCTAGTTTTTTTAAGAGGTATGAATAAAATATGCTTTCAGATACCATTGTTTGTGCCCGGCACCAATGGACATCGGTCATTCTGATAGAGAAAGTCGACATGATGGCCACAACCTTGATTGAATAAACAATTATACATTGATAAATGTGTTATTAGTTCATAATTTACTTCTAAACAAACTGTAAAAACAAGAATTCCTACATACCTACCCTAAATTTTAAGAGGTGTAATCGGAACCACAACATTTGTTTCTATTTGGCTTATATTGGCTCGAAAATTACAGCAAGCTGTCAGTGGGCTGTGTCTGTATACCATTGAGCTGTGTGTGTACGCCAGTAAGATCTCAGCAAGCGATCAGTCAGTGTCTCTTCCACCAGGTCAACATCAGAACCAACGAATGTGTGGGTCGCGCTTGTGTGTGTGCCGTGGCCATCATGGACGGCCCGGACACCATCGCCATCGACGTGTGCCGCCAGCGATGGGGTGCCCCGCCCGCCAGGGTGAGGATCATGTCAGGGGGCAGTCTGGCCGCGGGGACACAGATCAAACGGACCAACGACGGCAGGAACTTCATGGTAGGTGATTCTCGAGACCGACATGTTGTTTGTGAATAGATCCCGATTACGTGATCTGATCTGCTAATACTCTTATACGTATTTTATCAACATAAGCTCACAACTTATGTGTTGAGCCCCGAGCGGATTCCTCATCAACACGGAACTGGTGTAAAGACATTACATACAGACGTGGTGACTTGACGGACGATGTGTTACTGAGTCACCATCCATGACGTCATATCATGCACGTGTTCCAGATATCCTTCGCGTCGGGGTCGTGGCTGCGTGTCCAGGACTTCGCCACGTACATCAACGTCGAGGTGCAGGTGCCCGCGGAGGATTTCGGACACGTGCAGGGTATATGTGGCACGTTCGATGGTAACCCTGACAACGAACTACAAAGTCCGGATGGAGAAACGTTTGATCTCAACGACAATGTTCCAACTTTGTTCTTCAGATCATGGAGGTAAGGAGATGGAGTTGGGGAGAGAGAAAAGAGAGCGACAGAGAGGGGCAGAGAGAGAGGGGAGGGGCGGGGTAGAGAGGGGCAGAGAGAGAGGGGAGGGACGGGGTAGAGAGAGGGGCAGAGAGGGGGAGGGGCGGGGTAGAGGAGGGGCAGAGAGAGAGGGGGGGGTAGGGCAGAGAGGGGGCAGAGAGAGGGGCAGAGAGAGAGGGAGGGACGGGGCAGAGAGAGGCCAGAGAGAGAGAGGGAGGGGTAGAGAGAGGTCAGAGGGAGACTGGAGAGAGAGAGAGAGAGAGAGAGAGAGAGAGAGAGAGAGAGAGAGAGAGAGAGAGAGGTAGAGGCCTCCTAAATGTTAACACTGTGTCAAGCTCATTTCTGATGTACTGATATTTTCAAGGGTTTCGGTTGGAATTTATTGTCTCAGAATGTCAACACCAGGCTCGGTGTGTGCCAGCATGTCCTGTGTGTATATCCCCATTGAAGCACCTGCTATATAAAGGTATTTTTGTTTTGTGCAGACTGAGAGCAGATCAGAGTTTGCTGAACGGCGCTACTCGGCCCCAACTCACCCGTGTCGTCCTCATTGACAACGTCAACATCAACACCCAGTGTCTGTGCAACAACATCACCAGGACGGCAGACTGTGGACGCAACAGAGTGATACAAGACCCGGTCCGTAATGTAAGTCACACAACCTAGCCATCGCTGCTTCATAATAACATACTAGCTCATTACAGCTGACCGAACATACGCCCTGTCGGGAAAGTCCGTGAAAGGTTATAATTAACATGCCATGTGTTGTTATGTCCACTCGTCCTTCTCACCTTATCTATTTCACCCATATCTAAACCCCTGAAGGTCCGGGTTAGAATATTGATCTTCAGTAACCCATGCTTGTCGTAAGACGCGACTAACGGGATCAGGTGGTCAGGTTCACTGACTTGGTTGACACATGTCATCGGTTCCCAATTGCGCAGATCGATGTTCATGGTGTTGATCACTGGATTGTCTGGTCCAGACTCGATTATTTACAGACCGCCGCCATACAGCTGGAATATTTCTGAGTGCGGCGTAAAACTAAACTGACTCACTCACTCACCCATGTCCTCCTTACATATCCTCTGCACCCTTACCATCTTCACCCACGTCCCTTATTGCATTCTGTCCCGAGTTAACATAACCACGTGACCCCTAACGGACGACTAAGTGGACTGGATGGTCAGTAACTCCGTGCTCAGTTGCTCGTACCACCAATCACTGATTGATCCAGCCTCCGACATCCCTGGGTGTTACTGGAATACTGCCTAACAACACAAGCATCCATCCTCGCTTACAGTTTCTAATGTACGTCCTTCACGTCATGGCTGCCCTTGGTTACAGCTCTGTTCTTCTTGTCACGATGTCACGGATCGAGTTATAACACGGACTCAAAATGCATCGGTGACTGACGACGACAACGACGAGCCTGCTGTCCGTATACCCGGCACCCCCACCGTCCCCGACAGGCCAAACTTCAGAACGATGATCAACTGTGAGTGGCTTCTTAAACTTGATCACAGCTAACCCTAAAGACTCACTTGATCAATGGTTTCAATTCTGTTTCTTCGTCAGTCGAGTACCAGTTATTGTGTTTCCATTTAGACATAAATGACGTTGTCGACACACACTACGTCAGCTCACTGCTCGTCTACATCCACTGTAAGTAAGTCATTAGACACATTTAAGATGTTGTAGCATCACTGAGGATAGAAACGTTTGTTGCCATGTGACTTGACAGTGCTGGTTCCTCTACAGGTGAGTCTGGAAGTACAAGCAGAAACAAAGCTATACAAACTAATATCCTTTAGTTAACTATTTCTCCATAGCACACATTCTGTTGTAATCCAGCCATCAGAAGAGGTACAACATTCAACACTATGGCCATACACAGACACGACCAAGTAGCCGGTCTGACATACCCTTGAGTTATTTAACAGGAAACACGTTGCATCTTTGTTATATTTAGTCTTTTAATACCACTTGCCTATAGCACAAGTGGTCAGGCCAACAAAGAAATGTACAGGCTAGCGCTGAACTGAGTTACGACCGGTCAGCTGGTCAAGGTAGGTCGCTGACATGGTTGATATTCACTTCATGGCATTCCATTTGTGTAGATCGATGCTTGCGATGCCGATCACTGGATTGTCTGTGCCAGACTTGTATAAACGGAGACAGACATACCTGGCTTCATAATACCTGAGTGTGGCGTAAACTACAAACATATTTCAACCTTCAGTCAACTTCACGGCGACCCTGGGCGTGAACGTGACGATCATCACACCTGGGGTTGAGGTCAGCCCCTACCCTCGGGTCCGCCCAAACCTCCCGTGGAGCCACAGATCACCCAGGCCCGGGCCAACCAACTGTGCATCACTGCCATCGCCAACTTCTCTCTCGGCGTCAGGTGCACGACCATCGTGGGCTTCGACACTTCCGGTTTTGTTTCTTCATGTGTTGAAGACATGGTTGTAAGTTATGGTTCATTTGTTATTATATTACGTGTTTTCCAAAATCTCCTCCCCAAATCAGTTAGGGTGGATTATATGTATATTGGTAGTAAAATCATAACATCAAATTACGTCTGAGGCTATTCCAGTACAATAGCTCACCTACTCCACGGTTAAATACAGGGCCTGTAATATAAGGTGTGCACAGTTTAACAGTCTCCAATCTTCAGGAAGCATTCGGCTAAGAACATATATTCTCTCCTAGGCAGCACAGTCGACGGTGTTCCTGCAGGCGGCTGTATCCGCCATGGAGGCAGGTTGCCAGGAGGCCATCTTGAGAAACATCAGCAACTTCGGCACCGACGGCCAAGGGAGACGACTCCCACCACCAGACGCCACCAAGAATATCTGTCCAAACCAGTGCAGTATGAGAGGCGTGTGCAGTGCCGGCAGATGCATCTGTGATGCAGGCTACTCTGCACAAGACTGCTCCGTCCAAACATCGAGGCCACCTCAGATTATCCGAATATTGAGGTAAGTGTGTGTGGTGTGGCTGACGGTGTAAGCCTCCCTGTATGTACACGTGTCACAGTGTGTGTGGTGTGGCTGATGGTGTAAGCCTCCTTGTGTGTACACGTGTCACAGTTTGTGCGGTGTGGCTGATGGTGTAAGCCTCCTTGTGTGTACACGTGTCACAGTGTGTGCGGTGTGGCTGACGGTGTAAGCCTCCTTGTGTGTACACCTGTCACAGTGTGTGCGGTGTGGCTGACGGTGTAAGCCTCCTGTGTGTACACGTGTCACAGTGTGTGCGGTGTGGCTGACGGTGTAAGCCTCCTTGTGTGTACACGTGTCACCATGTGTGCGGTGTGGCTGATGGTGTAAACCTCCCTGTATGTACACGTGTCACAGTGTGTGCGGTGTGGCTGATGGTGTAAGCCTCCTTGTGTGTACACGTGTCACAGTGTGTGCGGTGTGGCTGACGGTGTAAGCCTCCCTGTATGTACACGTGTCACAGTGTGTGCGGTGTGGCTGATGGTGTAAGCCTCCTTGTGTGTACACGTGTCACAGTGTGTGCGGTGTGGCTGATGGTGTAAGCCTCCTGTGTGTACACGTGTCACAGTGTGTGCGGTGTGGCTGATGGTGTAAGCCTCCTGTGTGTACACGTGTCGTGTCAGTGTGTGCGGTGTGGCTGACGGTGTAAGCCTCCTGTGTGTACACGTGTCACAGTGTGCGGTGTGGCTGTGGTGTAAGCCTCTGTGTGTACACGTGTCACAGTGTGTGTGGTGTGGCTGATGGTGTAAGCCTCCTGTGTATGTACACGTGTCACACGTCACAGTGTGTGCGGTGTGGCTGACGGTGTAAGCCTCCTTGTATGTACACGTGTCACAGTGTGTGCGGTGTGGCTGATGGTGTAAGCTCCTTGTGTGTACACGTGTCACAGTGTGTGTGTGGTGTGGTGTGGCTGGTGTAAGCCTCCTGTGTGTACGTGTCACAGTGTGTGGTGTGTACACGTGTCACAGTGTGTGCGGTGTGGCTGATGGTGTAAGCCTCCCTTGTGTACACGTGTCACAGTGTGTGCGGTGTGGCTGATGGTGTAAGCCTCCCTTGTGTGTACACGTCACAGTGTCACAGTGTGTGCGCTGTGCGGTGTGAAAGCCTGCCTTGTGTGTACACGTGTCACAGTGTGTGCGGTGTGGCTGATGGTGTAAGCCTCCTTGTGTGTACACTTCGTATGTCACCTGTGTGTGCGGTGTGGCTGATGGTGTAAGCCTCCTTGTGTGTACACGTGTCACCGTGTGTGTGCGGTGTGGCTGACGGTGTAAGCCCTTGTGCGTACAGTGTCACCAGTGTGTGCGGTGTGGCTGACGGTGTAAGCCTCCCTGTGTGTACACGTGTCACAGTGTGTGCGGTGTGGCTGACGGTGTAAGCCTCCCTGTATGTACACGTGTCACAGTGTGTGCGGTGTGGCTGATGGAGTAAGCCTCCTTGTGTGTACACGTGTCACAGTGTGTGCGGTGTGACTGACGGTGTAAGCCTCCCTGTATGTACACGTGTCACAGTGTGTGCGGTGTGGCTGGTGGTGTAAGCCTCCTTGTGTGTACACGTGTCACAGTGTGTGCGGTGTGGCTGACGGTGTAAGCCTCCCTGTATGTACACGTGTCACAGTGTGTGTGGTGTGGCTGATGGTGTAAGCCTCTTTGTGTGTACACGTGTCACAGTGTGTGCGGTGTGGCTGACGGTGTAAGCCTCCCTGTATGTACACGTGTCACAGTGTGTGTGGTGTGGCTGATTTCGTAAGCTCCTTGTGTGTACACGAGTCACAGTGTGTGCGGTGTGGCTGACGGTGTAAGCCTCCCTGTATGTACACGTGTCACAGTGTGTGTGGTGTGGCTGATGGTGTAAGCCTCCTTGTGTGTACACGTGTCACAGTGTGTGTGGTGTGGCTGATGGTGTAAGCCTCCTTGTGTGTACACGTGTCACAGTGTGTGCGGTGTGGCTGACGGTGAAGCCTCCCTGTATGTACACGTGTCACAGTGTGTGCGATGTGACTGATTGTGTAAGCCTCCTTGTGTGTACACGTGTCACAGTGTGTGTGGTGTGGCTGATGGTGTAAGCCTGCTTTTGTGTACACGTGTCACAGTGTGTGCGGTGTGGCTGATGGTGTAAGCCTTCTCGTATGTACACCTGTCACCGTGTGTGCGGTGTGGCTGATGGTGTAAGCCTCCTTTTGTGTACAGTGTCACCATGTGTGCGGTGTGGCTGACGGTGTAAGCCTCCCTCTGTGTACACGTGTCACCGTGTGTGCGGTGTGGCTGACGGTGTAAGCCTCCTTGTGTGTACACGTGTCACAGTGTTTGCGGTGTGGCTGATCGTGTAAGCCTCCTTGTGTGTACAGTGTCACCATGTGTGCGGTGTGGCTGACGGTGTAAGCCTCCTTGTGTGTACACGTGTCACAGTGTGTGCGGTGTGGCTTACGGTGTAAGCCTCCTTGTGTCTACACGTGTCACAGTGTGTTTTATCAACCTACTGATGAATGTATCATCACTGCATTTATATCTTTATGTAAACCTGCCGCCATGTTGACCGGGCTTTGTGTGACTTGACCAATGCTGCTATCACGTCCTATGGTGTTTGGGATAACAGCTTCCCTGGTTCATCGACTCCAGGTTATACAAAACACAGCCCCCAGGATAATAACTCGTTGTCCTCGAAGAGACCACATCACCCCCAGGTTAAGAGAACTGCATTGGCTACCCGTTGCCAGACGCATAAAATTCAAGTTGCTCACCATTATCTACAAGTGCCTGAAGACCAACACTGCTCCATCTTACTTGTCATCTCTTCTTAACAACCATAGACCAACAAGACCTCTTAGATCACAAGATAAAGATCTGCTTATCACCAGACCATCCAGGACCAAATACGGGGACCGCTGCTTTGAATGTGCAGCTCCCATGCTATGGAACAACCTCCCCTATGTCGCTAAAATCCGCCCCAAGTCTACAAACTTTTCGAAAACATTTAAAGACACATCTATTTGAAATGAAATAGACTGAACTGCACAAGCGCCTGTGAGCAGCCTAGCTGGAACTCGGCGCTATAGAAGTAGATTATTATTATTATTATTATTATTATTATTACGTGCTTGGATCTAACCGTGTTAGTGTTTACCCCCCAGGAACGGACTGTGCAACTCCCGGAGGCGTCCCTGTCGTATCGCCTTCCTCATCGTCGACAACTTCCATGAAACTCCAAACATCGCTTGTAGAGTGCGGGACGTGAGGGTGAGCAGGGAGTTGAACCTCCATCCTTACTGTCAGTTTAGTGATGGAGTGTAGATGCGTCGGTAGAATATATACGGTGACAAGCGGTGTGTTGATGTTAGACTAGGTATCTACCATAGAGATAGATGCAGTAATAGAACAACACTATCAATGGCATACCTTGGTTCCCAGTATCAAACCAAAACAATATAGCATCCATAATCGTTAATGACACATATATTTTATGTGAATGTTGATAATGCTTGTAGTTCACCTCTGTTGGACAAGGATCCACACCTCGGTATTTCGAAAGTGCTTAATACTCTTGGTGATGCGTCACCGGCCACTCGGGGCTACTGGGTTGGGTGACTGCCGGATCAGTCAAAACAACATAGTTAACTGTAATGAGAGGATTGTGTCTTGAGCCTTTTCTCGTCTCTGTAAACATATCCTACAACTAACACACAAGGTTTTTTCTTTCCGTTCCTGTGTTAATACAGATAGATAACGGCAACCTGACGCCTGGAAACAACTTCTCGTTAGTCCCCGCGGATTTCGAGAGTTCACGAGAGGTTGGATGTCACCTCCCTGATGCCAGAGTACCTGAAGGTAAGCCGTGACGTCACTACGCTTCAATTGCCCCGGATGTTGAATATGGTACCCATGACGACCCGGGCTAGAATTGGTCTTCAACAACCAATGAGGGTCGTAAAAGGCGACCTACGGGACAGGTAGTTCAGAACGGTGACTTGGTTGGTGCCTGTGATAGTATCTCAGTGACGTATCACTGAATTGTCTGGACCGGCGTCGAATAGCTGGCATATTGTTGAGTCCGGCGTCAAACAACAAACGAAATCATGGCGAGGACTATTTTGTTGTACCTGATGCGGTACAGCTCAGTGCTGTCATGGTAATGGCGTCTCACCGACAATACAATGTTGTGTATCTTCTTCAGATCGGGCGCTGCACGGGCTCCTCATCTCACTGACAACAAACGGGGCGCTGTTTAGTAACGAGGTGCTCTACGTGGTGTACGACTCTCACTGTCTCTCTTGTAACAGAATGGGACAGTGTGGCATCAAGGTAGGTCTGTCTCTCCTGTAACAGAATGGGCCAGTGTGGCATCAGGGTAGGTCTGACTCGCCTGTAACAGAATGGGCAAGTGTGGCATCAGGGTAGGTCTGTCTCAGTAGCTGTATCATACATACCATCACCAAACTCCATTTCTTCACTCTAACCCATTTAAGCTGAACTAGATGGATGCTTTCGTATAAAACTGCACATACCAATGTGAAAACCTACATATGGTATTTGATGTGTGCATGCAATATATTTCAGAACGATACATGTCTCATTGAGGGCACGTGTAGAAATGCTCGTGAGGAGAACCCCAGGAACCCATCTGAGTTGTGCGACCCGGACAGAGACCAGGAGAGATGGACGTCATCACGTGAGTAGGGCCACCACTGGGTCCAGCAGCTCGTGCAAGGGCAATGTCAAGGTTACTCACAGAGGGACACGGTGTGGTGGGAAATGTCCAGTCGGCTGAGGGACACGGTGTGGTGGGTGCCCAGTCGGCTGAGAGACACGGTGTGGGGGTTGTCCAGTCGGCTGAGGGATACGGCGTGGGGGATGTCCTGTCGGCAGAGGGATACGGCGTGGGGGGTGTCCAGTCGGCTGAGGGATACGGCGTGGGGGATGTCCTGTCGGCTGAGGGATACGGTGTGGTGGGTGCCCAGTCGGCTGAGAGACACGGTGTGGGGGTTGTCCAGTCGACTGAGGGATACGGCGTGGGGGATGTCCTGTCGGCAGAGGGATACGGCGTGGACACGGCGTGGGTGTCCAGTCGGCTGAGGGACACGGCGTGGGGGTTGTCCAGTCGGCTGAGGGATACGGCGTGGGGGATGTCCTGTCGGCAGAGGGATACGGCGTGGGGGTTGTCCAGTCGGCTGAGGGATACGGCGTGGGGGATGTCCTGTCGGCTGAGGGATACGGCGTGGGGGGTGTCCAGTCGGCTGAGGGACACGGCGTGGGGGTTGTCCAGTCGGCTGAGAGACACGGCGTGGTGGGTGTCCAGTCGGATGAGGGATACGGCGTGGTGGGTGTCCAGTCGGCTGACAAGCCGCAAGTCACTGCTCTCAGTGTGTAAACAGTGACAGAATATATTGACCAGGGGTTAGGTTTCCTGGTGGTGTGTGGTCCTGTACACAAATAAGTTGTGTCACTAATAAGTTGAAGTTAAGCAACCTTGGTCACGGAGTGTCCTTGGATGGATGACCGTATTTGGCAACTTGACTCCTGAGAGTTTCTAGGACTTCAGTCCTGCTCTACACTGCAAAATTAGTTGGGAGACTTGTGGAGTCACCCTGAGTAAGTGACTTAGTTCGAAATCTGTCTGTCCACACAGCAGTAAATTGGGTAGCTGGTATGATACGATGGTAGTCACATCGACCTTGAATTTAAACCTTGAGCGCCTGACAGGCTACCGGTTGTATTCTCCACAGGGAGTGTTCTCTACTCGTTGACCAGGGGTAGTGTGTCAGCGCTTTGAACATGCAACGTGAATGGATAAATGCGCAATATAAATGGACTATTAATACTAGTATAAGAATATCATATTCTACCTGAATATTCCAGCACCAGACCGTGGACCTGACGTGTATCGCTCCATGTGGTCCTCCTACATTAAGCTGTATAACTGAGAAACTGTTCCAAGTAGCTTTAAATCACACTCTCGCTTAACTGCTAGATGGCCAATGTTCGCCTAAATACCTAACAATCGCATGACAAACGTGTGTGGTGATTGCATACTGTACCTGATGACACCCCAAGACGGGCACGTTACTCGACAGCAGCTGAAGATGTATCTAAAGTTTCACAACTACATCTGTGGCCGTACACCATGTTCATGTTCTGTTGTCTCTTCAGTGTCTCGACTCGCGGCTTTCCCAGCGCCATGTCTCCCAACCAACAACAGGTTCGACAGATGGGACATCTGGACAAGGTGAGTGGTGCCAGTCAACAGATCCTTCCATGCACCTGTTAGTTCCATGGCAATTTAGTTCCCCAGGGGCGACCATGTAGTCCTCCCCGAGGTTAGTTCCACGGCCATGTAGTCCTCCCCGAGGTACGGCAGGGGTGTTTGACGTGATATCGGCTGGTTATATGTGTAGACTTCCTGTTTACAAAGTGGGTTACAGTGGCTAAGTTAAAAGCACAATATCCATGCCAATGCATAAACGTCTACTTATAGTACAAGACGTACACCGGACATTCCTCCCACATCAGACAGACCAGCCGTTACATATATGGCATACTGTCCACAGCAGAGATAAACCCTTTCCAGCATACCCTAGAAGCAAAGTGAAAGTGAACTCCTTCTATATCATAGTTCTATGTTTTTCTATTTTTTTCTGTTCTATATTTTCCTTTATTACAAACATCATGATGATGGTGATCTATTTTCATTAAATGCGTACAATACTTTAGCAATCTTAAGTCAGGTGGTATAAGAACAAGATTCCGCAAGATGGTCGTGTCTGTCATGGGAAGCTTACGGAGTGGTTGCCATGACTACAGACATGAATACTTATTGTGATTGTGATTTCTGTATCCCATAGAGGTATGCCAGCTTGTAAACAAAAACAAATGATTTGGCGGAAAACATATACGGGATACAATTTTAGAAAATGGCACTGTACATATATTGTTAGCGCTACTTAATTGTCAAGGTGTTTGTGTAGAGCTGGGCACTCCCTTAACCGCTCCAGGTATCAGCTGTGCTGGTGTCGACAATGATGCGGGACTGCCAGGCGTAGTAGCTCCGGTTGTCTGACGCATGTTTCATGTATTCTTGTGTCCGACATATTAAATCGTTATCAGAAACCTTTGAGATACAGATAGGTGTCAGACAACGCTGTGCATTGAGCCCCTTCCTGTATTCTTTTATTTTCATAAATGAATTGGCCACGCAGGGAATAACTGTACACACGGCGTACAATTTCATCCGGATGTCTTCCAACTATTTCTGTTGCTTTTTGCTGATGATATTGTCTTAATATCCAGTACTATTATCGGCCAGCAAAGGCAAATATATGAACTGGAAAACTTCTGCGAGCAGTCAAAGCTGACAGTTAATTTGGATAAAAGAAAGGTAGTGGTATTCAAAAATGGTGGAAAATTAGCAAAACATGAAAAAAATATATATTGTAAACTTGAGACTACAAAATTCTTACAGATATCTTGGTGTATATTTCACTAATCAGTTATCCTGGTCATTGCATGTAAACTTTGCAGCAGTGCAGGCACAGAAAGTACTTCTATCTATCTATACTCTTATTGTAAAGAAATTCGGTACTGGATAAAGCTATTACACATGTCAACCTATCGCTTACCAAAGAAGTGTTATAATATCATGCTTTTATGTGATAGAAATGGACATGATATAAAACAATTATCATTTTCCACTGGATTTTGAGATATTTGGCATAACCAAGAAATTGGAAAATATCCGGAAATCATCAAATCATTTACTCAAACTTTTTTCAAAATTGGCATCTTTTTCAAGCAAATGTGACACTTAAATGTTTAAAAACAATATCCATACCGAATTCTATCGATCATGTTTAAATGTAAGAAAAAGTATAGAATAAGTTTAGCACGATTCCGATGCTCATCTCATGAACTTTTGATTGAGAAAGGTAGATAATTGTTGTGTAAATATGAATAGAGAATATAGAACTTGCTAATTATGTACTTCAAATGCAGTTCAAGACGAGAATCAGTTTCTTTGTGTATGCCCTAACTACTGTAATCATCGAAGCAAATATTATTTATAAAAAAAAAATATTATGTCCAACCAAATAAATTTCAGTTTTCGCTAAATGCAGTTCAAATACTAAAGATATTGGAAACATGTCCATGTATATTTTCTACGTATTTGTACAGAGAAAGCATATTGTTTCTTGAAAGTGTACAAACATATACAGTGTAGTATAGGACCGATGCATTTTGAGTGTCGGAATAAAGAAAGATTGTATTCATTTCATTTCCAGCAACCAAACTGGCTGTCCGTGTTTTTTCGACAAGAACAGAACTGACTGCGCATGTTGTGAGGCTGGTGCCTGTCAGTGCCCGGATCCCAACCCCAACCAGTGCGCCCTCTGTAGTCAGGAAACCCGCCTATGTGGCACACGTGAGTTGCCACTCAAAGATAGCTTTGATAGCTCTTAGCCTCGAAACCAGTAATATAGCTCTAAGGCTCGAAACCAGTAGTATCGCTCTTAGGCTATAGCTCTTAGGCTCGAAACCAGTAGTGTCGCTCTTAGCCTCGAAACCAGTAGTATGAGACGCTCTTAGGCTCGAAACCAGTAGCACACCAGTAGTATCGTTTCGAAACCAGTAGTAGAGGCTCGAAACCAGTAGTATCGCTCTTAGGCTCGAAACCAGTAGTGTCGCTCTTATGCTCGAAACCAGTAGTATCGGTCTTAGGCTCGAAACCAGTAGTATCGCTCTTAGGCTCGAAACCAGTAGTATCGCTCTTAGGCTCGAAACCAGTAGTGTCGCTCTTATGAAACCAGTAAAATAAGGCTCGATTCCAGTAGGTCGCTCTTAGGCTCGAAACCAGTAGTATGAGACGAAGTGCCAGCAGACCACACCATAGTATCTCCTCAAGAGGGACCAGGAAGAACTTTGTTCCCGTGACGGGAATCAACATCGATTTTTATGTCTTACGAAATGACTAAAAAGCCTGATTTCAGTATAGATGTATAGATTAAAAAGATAAGATTTTCGAGGATAGATTTATGGATGTACCTTTGTCAAGACGTTTCGACATAGATCCTAATGTCGTTGTCAAGCACTTGAATCTATGTCAAAACGTCGCCTATATAGAATAAAGAAGTTGTATATCCATAAAAATAGTCCTCATTCTTCATCTACCGAACTTCTAGAATGCCAATCAAAGAAGATTAGAGTAGATTGTATATACAGACTGATAGATAAGGGCGAGTGAATGTTGTGTTCCGCCAATCTTGTAATGAGTCCAATCTTGACCTCAGAAGATCAGTAGTAATATCATTATGGGCATGTCCTTTGACAGAAATCCCATGAAGCTGAAAATATACTCAACGAAAACAGTTAAGGACCACCCCAAGTTTCAATATAAAAGTATTTGATAGTTCATCATGTTCCATATAATACTTAAAATTGATTATTGGGGTGGTCCTTCACTTTTTTTTCAGTATATAATCTGTCTACAATAAAATCCAACACTGCAGCAGATAAACCAATATGCATGGACGGAAGTAGCCTATTGTTCAGTGTGTGTGCGTACAGCGGGTTACGTTGTCCTGTGTTGTTGAGATGTTCTTAAATCATCAGTCTGACGCTTGACGTTGCAGGTCAGACATCGCCCGAGAACGGGGTGGACGGGTGGACCCTATCATTAACCGGATGTCAGTGTGCCTTCGACGCTTCGCGCACTGACTGCGCATGTTGTCAGAACGAGGGTTGTCTCTGCGGGTTGGAGCACCGGAACCAGTGCTCGCCATGTGGGCGACCGGAAGTCTGTGGGTCGAAACCGGATGTGTTTGGTGGATTGCGAATACACGGCTGACACCAAACCGACCTCACTGTACATTGCTCACAGATCCTCGTGTAGGGGACTTGAAGGATGCAACTCGTCAACATTCAAGATTATCCTTGTATTAACCCACATGAGGATTGCCTCAAGTGCATGTCCTTTGTATATACTGATCTGCGTACAGATCGCACGTGCCGTACTCCCGTACTCTCTGATGCTGGCAATACTTCCTGTCCTTGTTGCATGGTGTCAGTATCCTGCTCTTGTATATATAAGTAATTGTACATAACTGTTTTTATTATTTGTACTTTTTATATCTAAATCAAATAAAGTATATTTTCTGAAAGATGCGTGTCTCACTTACTTTGACCTTTTCGTACCGGGTTCGTATAGATAAGTGTCCCCATTGAAGAGAGGCAAATTACCGGGTTCTTATAGATAAGTGTCCTCATTGAAGAGAGGCGAATTACCGGGTTCGTATAGATACGTGTCCACATTGAAGAGAGGCGAATTATCGGCTTCGTATAAATAAGTGTCCACATTGAGGAGAGGTGAATTACCGGGTTCTTACAGATAAGTGTCCACATTGAAGAGAGGCGAATAACCGGGTTCGTATAGATAAATGTCCACATTGAGGAGAGGCGAATTATCGGGTTCGTATAGATACGTGTCTACATTGAAGAGAGGCGAATTGTCGGGTTCGTATATAGATAAGTGTTCACACTGAAGACTGACGAATTACTGGTTTTGTATACATACAGTACAACCAGAAATTACTGAGAATTTAAAGATTGTAAATATTTTATTTTTTTCACTCATTACTCACGTATTAAATGTGAATATTAGCAAAACATAACTCCAGATTCAAAGACAGGTGAACAGTGAATATTTTGTCAAGTCACCATGGGAAGCAATGCAGGCTTCAATGCGGCGGGGCATACTACTGATCAAAGAAGTTAGAAAGTCGTGGTCCATGCTGTCCCAATATCGGACCACCTCTTCTTTCATTTCAGCAATATTTGTCAGATTTTTCTTATTGACACTTTCCTTCATAAGTCCCTAAACATTTTCTATTGGATATATAGGTCAGGGCTATAGCTTGGCCAATCTAATAATGTCATATTTTGGGTCCGAAACCAGGCCTGTGAATGCATTAAACGATGTTTTGGGTCGTTGTACTGCCGGAAAATAAAAAATATTTCATAGAACACGTGAGCAGATGGATGTAAATGTCCCTCGAGAATATCTGTGTACCGCTCATTGTTCATATTCCCTTCAAATACACAGGGGGGCGTTGCCCCTAACACAGATATGCCACCCCACACGTTAAACTTCGGACTGTACTTTGGGCGCTGATACAAAGGTTTTTCAGTTTGTTTGGCCCAGAATTTCAGTGTATTAGGAAACAGCCACACATAACTTTCATCGGAGAAAATCACGTTGTCCCAGTTAAAATTTCTATGCCGTAAGCACCCGTTCAACCTTCGCTCCTATTGTTCAGGATTCATTGCATGCAGCTCAGTTCTAATTGTCTCCTTACAGACAGCCACAGTTCCTCTATCAATCATATCCAGCCTTAAGTTTTCTAAACTCCTTGTTTGTTATTAGAAACAGAATACCAAGCCGCCTCCTGTCACCGACAGTCAATTTTCTGGGCCTACCTGCGCCTCCCTGGTGCTCAATGCCATATCCATTTGCAATATTTTTCAAAACACGATAAACAGTGGACAAAGAGATGCCTGTTCTACTTGAAATCACTTTAGCTGATCTGATGTCCTAGTTATAATACTCTAAAATCAACTTCCTCTTCTCTAAATCATCCATACCGAGGATTACTGAAAATGTCGTCTGCTAGCAAGTAAACAAAGGGGGATAACTCTTCACAAACTAATGAAAAAGGATTAACGGAATTGTCTCTCTTGAATGAAACCAAGCACTTGATAGCTGGTCAAGGTTGTTTATACTAGAAATCCAATTAAACATTCCTAAAATTGTCAATAATTTCTGGTCATCTATAAGTGTCAAATTAGAGGCGAATTTCCGTTTTCGTATAAACGATTGTTTCAGAAGCTCAGTGTTTTTCTAGTCTTGAAGGGAAATAGTCTGTATGTGGCCTGATCTAGTAGTTTGATCCACGATGTGACTATTGATGTCATATTTCTTTGTCTACAATTATTGTTGATAGAATGTCACGTACATTACGTCCACTTGTAGATCAGTATTTTGCATCAAAGTATTATTAAGATAGTATGACTAAAATAAACTTAACTGTAGTCAAGTTGTCGTGTAACCCATGTAATTGTGCAAGATGATTTGTATTACACCCCTTCACTACACCTTAACACGAAGTCGGGGTCGTCTTGAGAACGCAGGCAGATTAATCTTAGGTCTTCGGACATCCACGACTAATGCAAATCTGAATCAGATCATGATGTCCCTGTTATACAATCTAACTATGTATCCCTTTAAAGCCATGATAGAATATCAATATTTGTGACACCTTTTGATTGATTCTCAACTTGCTTGGTTTTTTTTAAAGTATAAATACACAGGGAACACCTGTGGAATATATTTTTTACGTCAGTGTTTAAACCTATAGTACGCCTACAGTCCACATAATGTAGCATAACAAACCTGTAGCAGTGGTCAGGGTCTGCTTAGTCTATCTGACTTACTGGCCTTTCCTTTGTTACCCGTGAACATCCGGGTTAGAATCCGTCTTCAGCAAGCCAGGTGGTCAGGCTTGCTGACTTGGTTGACACATGTCATCGTATCTGAATTGCTTAGATCGATGTTCACGCTCTTGATCACTGAATTATCTGGTTCAGACTCGAATATTTACAGACCGCCGTCATATAGCTGGAATATTGCTGAGAGCCGCGTTGAAAAACAAACAATCAACAATCAACAATCTTACCTTTTCTTGGAAGCGCTTGAACAAGTAGTTGGGATTTTACGAAACTTCGACACAAGACGCCAACCATTCCAGGAAGATAATCAGACCCAGGTGCCGCTGTGTTGTGGAGAGCTATGTTGGCCATTACAGCTGTCACAAAAAGGCACAAGAGACGATGGTGTGTAGTGTCACAGGGTAATGACGTTATAACAATGGAAATACATTGGATTGAATAATCGAAAATGTCCTCAGGGTAAGTGTCACGACTGGGCAGGTTGTCGAATAGGATAGAGTGAAGCATCGTACAATATAGTCAAAACAAAACCACGGGCAACGCTGAATCACTGGCGAAACAACATCAATATTGTTTCACTATTACTAGACTTACCTCTTTGTGCAATGGTTTGCAAGCTTAACCTTTTATACAAAGCTGATGTGAAATATAATCATTCTCGATCACTAGCAGAAATAAATCAAAGTAAAGATGACATGCATTATAAATAAATGTGAGATGCTGATGGATCGGTTGTCATTGTGTAAGGGACCGTTCATAATCTATGGCTAAGGGGGTGATGATGATTTTTATAGAGAAGCATGTACAATGTGTTGACAATACAAGAAATGAGGGCCTGTCACCAGGGATGGTCGGTGTTAACAATACATGAAAGGAGGGCCTGTCACTGGGCATGGTCCATGTTGACAACGCACGAAAGGAGGGTCTGTCACTAGGGATGGTCGGTGTTGACAATCCCTGAAAGGAGGGCCTGTCTCTAGGGATGGTCAGTGTTTACAATACATGAAAGTAGGACCTGTCACTAGGGATGGTCGGTGCTAAAAATACATGAAAGGAGGGCCTGTCTCTAGGGATGGTCAGTGTTGACAATACATGAAAGTAGGACCTGTCACTAGGGATGGTCGGTGCTAAAAATACATGAAAGGAGGGCCTGTCTCTAGGGATGGTCAGTGTTGACAATACATGAAAGGAGAGCCTGTTACTAGGGATGGTCGGTGTTGACAATACATGAAAGGAGGGCCTGTCTCTAGAGATGGTCAGTGTTGACAATACATGAAAGTAGGACCTGTCACTAGGGATGGTCGGTGCTAAAAATACATGAAAGGAGGGCCTGTCTCTAGGGATGGTCAGTGTTGACAATACATGAAAGGAGGGCCTGTCACTGGGCATGGTCCATGTTGACAACGCACGAAAGGAGGGTCTGTCACTAGGGATGGTCGGTGTTGACAATCCCTAAAAGGAGGGCCTGTTACTAGGGATGGTCGGTGTTGACAATACATGAAAGGAGGGCCTGTCTCTAGGGATGGTCAGTGTTGACAATACATGAAAGTAGGACCTGTCACTAGGGATGGTCGGTGCTGAAAATACATGAAAGGAGGGCCTGTCACTAGGGATGGTCAGTGTTGACAATACATGAAAGTAGGACCTGTCACTAGGGATGGTCGGTGTTAGGAATACATGAAAAGAGTGCCTGTCACTAGGGATGGTCGGTGTTGACAATACATGAAAGGAGGGCCTGTCACTAGGGATGGTCGGTGTTGACAATACACGAAAGGAAAGGAGGGCCTGTCACTAGGGATGGTCGCTGTTAACAATATATGAAAGGAGGGCCTGTCACTAGGGATGGTCGGTGTTGACAATACATGAAAGGAGGGCCTGTCACTAGGGATGGTCGGTGTTGACAATACACGAAAGGAGGGCCTGTCACTAGGGCATGGTCCATGTTGACAATGCACGAAAGGAGGGCCTGTCACTAGTGATGATCGGTGTTGACAACCCCTGAAAGGAGGGTCTGTCACTAGGATGGTCCATGTTGACAATACACGAAAGGAGGGCCTGTCTCTAGGGCATGGTCCATGTTGACAATACACGAAAGGAGGGCCTGTCACTAGGGATGGTCGGTGTTGACAATATATGAAAGGAGGGCCTGTCACTAGGGATGGTCGGTGTTGACAATATATGAAAGGAGAGCCTGACACTAGGGCATGGTCCATGTTGACAATGCACGAAAGGAGGGCCTGTCACTAGTGATGATCGGTGTTGACAACCCCTGAAAGGAGGGTCTGTCACTAGGATGGTCCATGTTGACAATACACGAAAGGAGGGCCTGTCTCTAGGGCATGG